TAACACCTGAGCAGGTATCGAATAATTACGGACAGCCTGTATATTTAAACAACATATAAAGATCAACTCGCGCAAAACTCTCGGTAACCCCTGAAAATAATTTTGGCCGTAAGGAAATCGCATGATTATATTAATATTTTGTATAATAACCATTTGCCTCAACGCATTGCTCTAATCTTTGTCCCATTGATCCACTATAATTTCCGAAATCTGGCCGAGTTCGAAGCGACTCCCATACTCTTTGAGCATGGTTTAACAACGCGTTTTTGTTTCTCACTTCTCCTTGTTGAAAGGTTTCCCACGAGTTGACCATATGGGCCCACACATTTTCAATGGGTTTTAAATCCGGGCTTTTAGGGGGCCATTGAACCAATTCAATTTCCGGATGCTCACTAAACCATGCTGTTACTATTCGAGCTGTATGGATAGGTGATAACTGCCCTATCCTGAACAAAAATTATTGGGCCATCTGGATACAAAATCCAATATGATGGTAGAAATGAGTATATCAATAAAATCATGTGATCTCATATGAGGTAGTGTTTCAACTAACATACCAGGCCCACTCCTCTGAGTTTTCCTAATGTATTGTCGTTGATACCGAGTATTTACAGGTCGCCATACCAATTTGTTGGTCCTGCTATCGGAGCAAAAAGTTTTTTCATCTGCGAATACCACATTCGTCCAGTCCCGGTCTAAATTTTCACGAGCAAATTGTAATCTCGTTTCTGCATGCTGGGCTGTTAATTTTTCCTTTTTGGCTGGTCGCCTACATTTTATACCTGCTGAGTGTAGCATTCTACCTATTGTTTGCTGACTAACATCCAAGTTCAGGGCGTCTTTGATGGTCCGGCTGGTACTGAACGGTGCATTTGTAACATGACCAACCACTTGTTCCCTAACGTTTTGGAGCGTGAAATTGGTCGATCCCTTCTGGCACGGGAATTAACGTGACCTTCTTCTTCTTCTCGTCGTATCCATCTTCGCACTTGTTTGACCTTAATATTAAAAAATTACCTATAATAATTATATTAAAGCTGTATTTTCAATTCTGGAAATTATTTATTAAAGCCTCCACCTAATAGGACAGTATGTTATTTTTGTATGATTATGTTAGACTCTGAATAGATTTTTGATAAAAATTATTTGAGGCAAATGTTCCAATTTAAAAAAAATATATATATTTAAACTTGTTTTGTAGGTCCTTTTCTAAATAATTATTCCCAAGTGATAATTAACTATAGCCCCTACATCTTATACAGTGTTGCCAGGCATTGTAAACTTTCATGCGCCAGTTTTAATAATAAAATGCGCCACCAAAGCGCCATAAAAGTAAAAAGTAGCGGGAACTTTAAACATCGGCCATTAAGTTATGCAAAGGCAATCAATACAGTTATTGGCCCTTTAATAATTTTGAAAAATCATTGGACTGGCCGAAGAAGGAAGAGGCATACATTGGCCGACGCGTTAGCGTTGCTAAGTATTTTTAATAACAGAAACAAATTAAAATAATATATAAACAAGGCACTTTATTGCACAAGGTACTTTAGGTATTACACAAACATAAAAATTCTGAAAGTACCTACCTATTCTAAAATTGGATATAAATATAGGAAACAAAAAAAAAACATATTTTCTTCTCTAAAAATGTACTAGGTACAAATCAATAAATACTATAGAAAAGGAACACATACCTTGAACTAAAACATTTTTTTTTTTAAATAACTATTCGCCAATTAACAATACAGGATATTCGTTAGCATCATCTTCAACTACAAGCTGAAGAGATAATACATCCTCATCATCTGTTTCTGTCTTACTGTACATGCTGTTAGTAAATTTTTGAATCATTTTTTTTGACGGGTTAAATGATTTGCAGCATATATTGTGAGTACAGAAAAAAACTCTTATTTGAATAATAGAATTTAATAAAGAGACAGACATGCGATTTCTCATTTTGTCAAATCGGTAAAAACATGTCTACCCACGGCATCTTTGCGGTTTTTTACAGTTTCCCAAAATAAATATGAACTTTCTAAAACATCAGGGCCATATATGTCCTTCCACTGAACATTTTTCAGATTATTATTGTGACGGAACTAGCTATTACCCTTTTGTGGACTCTAGTCATTACCGCACCAGTGATGTCAAAAGTTTTTACTTTGACTGACTGTAAAAATTAACCATTAGGTGTTGGATCATTTAAGCCTTGTATTGAACTAGGGGTGCGTTGATTCTCATTTATACAAATAAAACGCTGAAATAGAATAGTTATCAATTTAATCAATAAATGAAGCCAATTCGGTCTAATCAGCAATCAAATCCTATCTAATAATTCCTATTTGGACGTCCAGTCGAACTACAAATTTTATACTAATCTAAAGTAAATAAGCGAGTAAATAAATATCTTGATTTATGAAAAATAGTGAAATTTCATAATAATAATATCATTTATGGTTAAATGTTCAATGAACGAGAACACAAATTAATTAATTAAATTTACGAGAGCACAACACAAATAATTCGTAAACTTCAATCAGCTCACTGTATTCACAAAATGTTTATTTATCTTTGAAAGTTCCTTTGTTTATTGTGAGTTAATAATTTGAGCACTTTTCTGCTGAAGTGTGTAAACAATAAGTGCAAGAAAAGTCTATATATATATGCTCAGTTTCTATATACAAATTTACAAATTAATGTTCATTTCACGAGTGTGAAAACCAAATTTCTGTATTAAAGGTTAGAACAAACACTTCAATTTATAGTGCATTTCAACCGAATCAGTATTCAGTATTTATTAATTTATTGTTCGACTGTTTTGAGAAATTGAAACGGTCTTACTTGCTTAATCCAGTTCATACCGGTAAATCCATATAGTGATTATTTATCCATTTATCACTATTCGTAGTAATTTGCACTGACAGCTAAGGAATTTTCCACTGAGAGAGAGAGAACACAATGATATACAGAGTTGGAGCCCGTCGAGAGTGAGACAGGAATAACCTTAAACAGGCGTAGTCGAGGGCGTAGTAGAGAATTTTGCTAGGTCCGAGATGACTTGCAACAATTTAGGGGTTAATTACATGAATTGTAATCAATAATATCGTTGATAATATAGGCCATGTCAGGCCTTGAGACACTGGGAGTAGTATTTTACTATAATTCGCGTACTAACGGGGGTTTTCTGGGGGTTTTTTCCTCTGTAGAGCGTTCAGAGGCGAGAGGGTGCAGAGTCTTTGCTTACTCTTCTGCTTCTTGATTACTACTGTTGTGTACCGTGCGTCGAGTCGACTGCCTTTTTCGGAGCAGGTCGCATAAATCAGGGATGTTGGGTGGCAACTGACCAATCACAACAACAAAATAGATCCATTGCTCATAGGGTAATGAAGAAATCTGTAATTTTACCGATTCAAAAGGGCTGCTGTTGCCAGTTTTACAGGAATCTTTTTTTAGAATATTATTTTTATGATAAATAATAGAAATTGAGATTATATTGATAAACTACAAATAATAACATTTTAAACTTGTGGGTTATTTCCGCAACAATTATATTGGTTTTCAATTTTGAAAATGTCCTTTTCAGGGGCAAATACATTTAAAAATGGAAGATTTTCAAAATCTTTACAGCTTGTCGGAGATAAAATAATAAGTGGAGAAAAATATTCTAATTTTTTAAAATAATCAAGATTATCAGGTAATCTTTTACAACATTCTTCCATAAGTGATTTTATATAAGTACACATTCTAGCATCAACCCCTTCAATATCAGATTCATTTAAACCACTTTTTCTTATTGCCTTACAATAGTCCATGCCTAACTAAGCATCAGTAGGTTTCAGAAAAGCCAATTCATTATCAAGATTTTTTGTTATTGTATTTAATGAGTTAGTTTGAGTAAGAACTGGTTTAATAATTTTTTTAGCCAAAAAAAAATTAGGTTTTCTATTTCAGAATGAGCCTTTCCAATTTCTATGAAATTTTTTTGAAAAGACAAATTTAATTTATTTACTTCATGTAGTATTGGTTTCAAACATACTAAATACAACAGTTTTTTTTATCATTTAACATGTCTCTCAACAAAAGAGCAGTATATGATTTTTCTGTATCAATGATTGCATTAAAATAAACTTTAAGCTCTTCATAATGTTCAATTATAATATTAATTACATGATATCTGGATAACCATCTTGTAGCTGATAACTGAACAAAATTATGAAATACTTTTTTTTGGTTTTGATTAAAAGTATCAAATAAATGCTTATATTCTGCCCTTCTTAGTGGACTACAATGGAACCAATTGAAAATTTCCCTACACATAAAATCCAAATTTCGGGGTAACACTTCGGAGGCTCTACTAGCTGCATTATTTAAAGAATGACATATACATTTTACAATTTGCAGGTTAGGACTATCTGCCCTAAGCATTGTAAATAGGGAATTGTTTTTTCCTACAGCCGTGCGGAAAAATCGATTTTCCGCACTGATATGCGTGCGGAAAATGAGTTTTACCGCATGGTGCAGTAAAACTTTTTTTACATATCAGTGCGGAAAAAGTTTTTCCGCACGGCTGTCAGTGCGGAAAAAAATTTCACGGCACTGATATGTCAAAAAAAAAAAGAAAAATTTTACATTTTTTCCCCTGTAGGAAAAATATTGTACCTAACACTTCGCATCACTGAACTCCGCTACGCGTCGTTCGGTGAACGGCAGCCGCGTGCGGAAAAATTCATTTTCCGCACTTGTTAGGTAAATAGCTATTTCCACGCAAGTTATTTGCACCATCTGTGCCTAAGCCAACCAAATTTTTCACATCTAAATTTAAACTTTTTAAATATTTTGTTAAGGTTAAATATAGCTGCTCGGCAGTAACTTTTTCAACTTCAATAAAGCCTAAAAAATCAGTTTTTATTTTACACTGCTTACTACTAAAATACGTTATGCATAAACACAAGAATTTTTTGGTTGTTATATCTGTGCTTTCATCCACTATTAAAGAATACTTTGCATCACCAACATCTTCCAAGAGATCTTCTAACAAGGACGGATATATAACATTTTTTATTAAGGCTGTACATTTTGTACGGTGCTGCCGAATTGAATTATTTTTTGAAGTTATTTTTAAATTATTCAACAATTCACCTAAGTGATCGACAGATGTAATTGATGAATGACAAGCAATATGCGCAGCTATGATGAGGTCCTTAATTTTGGCTTCGGATGAAATAACAGTGATGTGTTTTGTTATTTGATGTTCTCGTCTTACATTTATTTTTGAACATTCGCTCAAATGGAGTTTTGACTTGGTATGGCGAATTAAATCGGCTTTGTGGGCTCTAATTGTACTTTTGCATATTTTACAAAAGGCTTCTCCACATTTGGCTGGACCTGGATCTACAAGCCAACCTTAAAATCATTAATAAGTTTTTAAAATAATTAATAATATGCCTAACTTTACCTTTAGCCCAAGATTCAGACAACCAGCTACTATTAAATTTTCTAATTTTCTCAATTTTGCCCATATTTGTTTGATTGTTGTTGCAAACCAAAAATAAACCCAACTTTTATTGTCATGTTTGTTTGTTGTACCAGAAAACAAAATTCTGTCTGACCTGAAAGGACAGGACATAAATAAAAAGGCAGTGAATAGAGGTCCGAAAATTCGGATCTCTAGTGTTCATACTAAAGATCCGATAATTTTCGGATTTTCAATTTGTATATTAGGGGTCCGAAAATGCGAATATTTAGTGGTAATAAGATCCGAAAATAGATGTTTATTTCTAATTGTCGTAATTAAGGGATATTATAAAATTTGCTTATATTTTTTAGGATTGAAAAAATGGATCCTCTAATCTTTTTTATGTAGAATAGCTAATTAAGTTTACTCGAAAATATTTGGTTGGTGCAATTTCAAACAAAAAAGTACAAAAAACAAAACTAAGTACCTACCTTTTTTCTTTCAAAACATTTCATAAATAAAAATAAATATTTGTTTATTTTAAGGGTTGATAGGGTGAGAGGTGTGAATAAGTTCCTTCTGCACTGCATGCAAAACCAGGCTTTCTCACTAGAAGGCAGCTTTGTTACTGAACAGCAAACCGAAGACATGAATCACATCGTCGTAAGCAATCTTCATGTATCACTTTGTTACATAAATCACAAATCCATTTTAGAATACTATTTGTTTTTTTTTTTTCAATTCGTTTTTGTAATAAAACATAAGAATCCTGACAAACATATGCTTCTATTTCTGCTAAATATATTTTTTCTTCAAGAAGAAGTGGATCAATTTGTTGATGATGAGAAATGTTTTTTTTTCCGAATCTTCTGTATTTAAAATTGCATTAAGCATTATCTGGTGTCTCAGTTGAGGATCTTCATTTTTGAATAAAACACTTTTATTTTTCTTAGACCTTTTTAGTCCAAATGCAGTTAATTGATGTCCCTTGGGTCTTCCTTTATGGGCAAGTTTTAAAGGAAATTTAATACTTTTTATTTTTTCTGGCGCCCGGCGCATTTACCGAAATTTCAAGCGCCATTTCAATTTTGAAAGCGCCACTTTGGCGCAAATGCGCCACACCTGGCAACACTGATCTTATATAATAATTTTTCATTTTACTATGATTATTTACGATTTCGAATAAAAGATTTTGAGTAAAATCGAGTGAAATTATTTGGCGCAAACAATTAAACTAAAAAAAAAAACAACAAAAAAACTGTTTCTTATAGAGGTGCTTTTTTAAACCAATTTCTCCATAACTCATAACCCAATTGTAACAGAACTGCTTGTTATTTCATATTTTACCTGAAAGATGAGGGTAGGTGCTTATTGTTATGAGCGTAATTGGCTGAGGTTTTCTTTTTCATCTCTGAAGAGTTTCTTGAACATTATTATGGTCCACAACTTCATCAGGGAATTGCTCCAGATAGACATTACGAGCGTATTGAATTAAATAAGTCCTGCGCACCCCATTAACTTTTGTGCCATTACCAACGACGTAGCTATAGCTTTTACATTTACATGGGGGGGTTTAGAGCAGTAATGGCCGCTCATGGTCTATGCTGGAAAGGGTTTCAATTTTAGACCAGACGATGCATAGGCGACCAGGCGTAGCATAGTGTAACGCCCCTTTTTCGTAGTTGTCATTTCCATGACAGCTTTTACTTAAGTGTAGGCAGAATACACTTAAAATATCTCGGGCGCCAGCTTTTTATAGTGGTGTGCTCCACTGAATACCTCGGGTAACAATCAGTGGAGAAAGAAAATAAATCCAGGGTTCATTTATAACTACTCAATTTATTTCTGGTATGTAAGTTCCAATACTTGAGATGGTACGTACTACTTACGTACATAACTTAATAAAATATCTAGCAAAATGTGAAGCCTAATTTAAAAGTAAATAAACACCTGGAATCTAGTTCGCGGACTTCTTGGTGGTGAACCCCATTTTGAATAGCTAGGTGAGTGGAAAATTCGGTGAAATTACGGGCTACTTGCCGTACGGCTGGATCTTCTAATATATTTAAGAGGCCAACAACAAGCCGTTAAAAATTGAAAAAAAGGGTTGATTTCCCGAGACGAGAACTCACTTATTTTGTAATATTTTTTGACCGGATTAGAAAATAATAAAAGATAAAAATCTAAAGAATAATGCTGTTGTTTTAGTTTTTCGAAAAAAAAATTGCAAATTGAAAATATCACGACCTAAATACTCGAAAAAAAGCATCATTTCTATCGCTCGGTACATCCAAACCCATCGCTTTTTTAAAAAAAATGAAACAAGAGCATTGTTCTAAATTTTATTATCTTTTCGAATCTTCTTGATTCACTCAAAAATATTAAGTAGTTTTTGAGATCTCGTCTCAAATTGTAAGCCCTGCAAACACGGAAATTCAAAAATTTTGGCTGCAGCGAGGTGCTGCCTCTGGCGGATTTAATTTCGCACCGGGGTAAGTAAAAATTACACAACGCGAGAGGACTGCAAGGCCAGTTATTAGTTTGTGTAAATAATTATGGTGAATATATTTCATAATGAAGTCAAAACGAACAAAGATAACTTTACTAGAATTGAATAAACGAAAGAGGATATCATATAGCATAGTTAAATACAGTTAGTACGTGAAGGTTAGGAATAAAATCCATCAAAAATACAAGGTTGATTTTTTTTTCAAAAAATCTCGGATACGTCGATTTTTGATTTTAGTGGCCGTTTTTTTGATGAGAATTTCATACATTTGTCAAAACTGACATACCAACAATAAACTAACATGTTTTGATTGTTGATTTGAACCAATCAGATTGGAATTACGTGATAATTTATATTAGTGTAAATTATTGCACAGTAACTAATGCGAGAACTGGTGTTTTGACAAAAAATTTGAATTTTTGATTCATGAAATTTTCTCATAAAATACAGTGTATCCACTTAAGTTCGCAGCACATGGGAAACTTTTTTATTATCAATTTTACGAAAAAAAGTTATCCTTTATAAGAGTTTCTGCTTCTTGAAAAAATAATATCAAACTATGTATTAAAAGTTGAAATAGCATGTACAGGGTGGTCAAAAAATAGAAAAATATACAGGGTATTTCCTAAGTACGGTCCGTAACTTCAGGATGTCATTCCTTACGATATTTTAACAAAAAAAGTTCCCATAAATATGTGACCAGAAATGCGTAGTTTCTGAGATTCAGGGTGTCAAATTTTTAGAAAAAAATCGTTTTTTTAGCTCAAAAATTTTTCCATTTTTTTTTTTTTTTTTTTTAATTTGGCAGGTTGATTTGTGATAACGAAAGGTTTCTTTTGACTGAAATATGACTTGCTTAATCTGAAAAAAATATCAAAGGTTTAAAAAAATAGTGATGTGCCATTTTTTTTCTACTTTTACCAAAAAAACCTGCATATTTTCCTATTTTTTAATCCCCCTGTACCGGGTGTTTTTTTATCTTCGATATCATTTTGATCACCTGTAACTTTTTTGTTTTTGAAGTTATCAAGGTAAACAAAAAAACAAAATGTAGGGTTAGTAGCCAAGTTTTTTTTCAAATTACACGTAAAACAAAACACTATCAACTTTTTGACATATAAGCCTACATTATATTTTTTCAAATGGAACACCCTGTATATTATATATGTGTTCGATATAATATCTTATTCTGATTACAATGATATAGCACACTTCATATTTTGGTCCACTCGTTTTTGACAAATCGGCAAAAATATGAAACTTTCGAAGTGAAACTTATTAGGCGGCGCGGTCTGATATTTGGGACGAAAATTATTGAGAGCATATAAAAATTTCATATATTTTTGCCGATTTGTCAAAAACGAGTGGAACAAAATATGAAGTGTGTTATATCATTGTAATCAGAATAATATGCTCTAACGTACACACATATAATATACCGGGTGTTCCATTTAAAAATAGTACATTAAAATACAAGCTTCATAAGACGTGATTTTATCGCACGAGCCCCATATTAGAAAACGAGCCGGAGGCGAGATTTTTAAAGGACGAGTGCGATAAAATGTCTTATGAAACGAATATTTTATACTATTTTTTCTATTCTGGTATTGTTTAATTAAAAAAAAACAAATTTTTCTTGGAAATTTTATTCTCATATTTCCTGATTTCATGTTTAGGTTGGTAACATTACATGCCAAATATAGAATTAAGGGCGGGTATTATAAAACTACTTTGAGAGTTAACTTAAAGTTAATTTTTGAAATTACATGTAATTCAAAAAGTTAACTTTAAGTTAACTGTCAAAGCAGTTTTATAATACTCGCCCTAAATCTTCTATAAAATCGAGAATGACAGTGCGATGGCCATCAGTCAGCCAGTGTTACCAACTTCCGATAAGTGAAAAAGGAGTGTCACAAAGAGCTTCTTTTCGAAACTACTTTTAGTGTCGAAAAGACTTCGATATGAAACCAAAATAAAAAAAATATAATGTAGGCTTATATGTCAAAAAATTGATAGTGTTTTGATGTTTTGTTTCATGTGTAACTTGAAAAAAAACTTGGCTATCAAACCTATTAATTAATCAGTAACCTTTATTTTGGACTTTATAATTCAATGCTTTCCTTGTTTACTGCAACTATAGTTTATTGCAGTAGGTATTATTAAATAATTTGCGTAATATTTTTTTATTATCATTTGTTCAAAGAGTAGTCAAAGTTTCTCCCCATTATTAAGGCGAGAAACTAATGAAAACAAAAACTTAAACGTCTTTTCTTAACTACTTCTGAATGAATAATAATAATAAAGAGCACTATTTCAGCTAATCTACTGCAAAATTAGACATTTTCTTTATTCAACAGGGATGACATAAAATATGGTGCTAGAACTGAAGATAATCGCCAATAAGGCCGAAACGGTGCATCACAAACCCATTTCCAGTATATCGTTGAATTTGTATTTTAAAGGGCTATCCAAAAATTCGAAAATTTACAGGAGGTCCCATTTAAAAAAATTGAAAAGCGTAACATTTTGCGAAACGTGGCAACACGGCGTTTTTTGAACAAATATTCCAAATTTCAAAATAGTCTAAAGAGCAT